GTTATGCAGGGCCACGAAAGTCTTCAGATCGTTGTATAACCATCAGCCGTCTTTAGAAAATACCGATAACGAACCGTCTCCGCCACTTCATCCACCCTCATACGAGGAAGTGATGGCCGGACTTGAACATGTTTAAATAAACGAATAAAAAAAAACAAAAAAAAAACAACAATAACAATTGTACGCTCTCTTTTTCGTCTTTGTTTTTGTATAAAAGAAAAAAAGAAAAAAAACACACACACACAGACACAGGCACGCACGCTTTATAGGTCATTTCATGTAAAATCTTTATTTATTTTTCAACATGGTGATTATGCACAACAGTCCAATAATTCCCAAACCGACGATCATCGGTTTCGATACGGGCATCGGTGTTGGAGAAAAGAAATCAACGAATCCGTCCCATCCATCGTGACGCTTAATCCAATCTTCCAGATACCGATCGACGAAACGTACGGTCCAGCAAGGTACGTTGGCATTGCCCTGCTCGCCCATCTTTCCGCAGAATGTCAACAGGGTGGCGATTCTACCCCACGTAACGAACATGTTGTTGTTGTTGTTGTTGTTGTCATCGTCGTTGTGGTCTTCGTCGTCATTCACGAAAACTTGTTTTGCAATGTATTCGAATTGTTCGAAAGTTTCTATTTTCAAATTATCGCAAATAACTCTGAAGAATTCCATATTATTTTCCTCGATCTCGGTACATATTCTTCCCATCGTCGCAGTAACATCACACGATGCAGATTTGAATCGAAGAGGAAGAGGAGGAGGAGAAGCAGCAGCAGCAGCAACAGCAACAGCAGCACATCTGCCGTCAAAATAATCTCGTACGTGCTCGCGGGTGTTGTTCATCATAGACGGTAAATCTTCCATCGTGATCTCCATCATTAATGTAGTGTCAACTTACAAAATGAGAAGGCACTATATACACACGCAAACGCACACACGATGGTTCGGCGTAGACCAGCTGTGTCGAAGACGGTAATCGTGGTAAGCATCGCAACCGTCATCGTAGTTACGTTCGCTATTTCTCTTATACACATCTAACCTGAAAAATGCATGTCCGACACCTACCACGCCCTCGTCTCCCACGACCACCACCTCAGGGTGATATTGGTAATAGTGTTGATTGCCTGTTGTATCGCGGTGCTGGCCACGTTCGTCTTCGGATGGAGAGTCGAATGCGACGATAGTCGTTGCGGTGTCAAAAGGTTCTTTGGAATCCGACGGCAAGTCCAAATACTGCGTGTGCCTCGAAGGATTCACGGGACCAGTGTGCGAGCAGGTGGAAGAGAAGCCGATGGGCAAAGTGGACTGCGCGAAATGCGTAGATAACGGTGGCAAATGCGTATATTCGGACTTGACGGATGACATCTACTGCGTCTGTTCCCACGATCGATACGGTACGGTTTGCGACCACGCGTACGAGGGGTTGACTCGAACGATGTTGGCGTACGTCGAAGCATGCGTCGACGACACGTGATGATGACGTGAGTTTGGTGGCGAGTACATAAAATGGGATGTTGAGAGGAGGAGGGCTCAATATGGATTCCGTTATTTGATGCGATGTGTCTTATATTACTATTTCAGCTTCTTTCCATCGTCAACGTCGTCGTCGTCGTCGTATTCCCGATGCCGACGGAAGACGTAACGCCTTCGGCAAAATAATTCTACAACGATTCAGCGACGAGAGTCGGTATTACGCACATATCGGAAATACTTGTCATGGCCGAGTGGCCGGCTCTTTTGGTCGGCGCGAGTAACTCGCTGTTCGCATTCGATCTGAACAAAGGGTTGGACGTGTCAGCGGCAACGAAATTGGAGTGGATACCGGACTCGATGTCGATGGAAACGTGCAATCTAAAGGAAAAGAAGAGGAGGATTGCCAGAATTACATCAAAGTTATAACGCCAGATGCAACGACCGGGAACCTGCTCGTTTGCGGAACCTACGCGCAGAAACCGAGATGCGTTATTCTGAATGGGAAGGAGGTCGACACGTGGAACCTAGCGAATCGATGGAAGACGAACGCGACGGACGCTTTGTACAAGTGTCCGTTCGGCGTGGACCAAAAGGTCACCACGGTCTTTGCGGACGGTAGCCTTTACGCTGGGACGGTTGCCGATTTCAGCGGCAGAGGGTCCGCGTTCACGAGGTCGATGGGGGGCGGGTATCTGCCTCTCATATCCAAAAAGTCAGATTCCATATGGCTCAACGACCCGGTATTCGTGGGCTCGTACCAGGAAGATAACGAGGTTTATTTATTCTTTCGTGAAATGTCGATAGAAACTCAATTCACGGAGAAGATGCACTATTCCCGAATCACGGCGGTTTCAATATAGACAATAAGTAGTGAGCCCTCTGTTGGTCACTATTATAGATTTTAGATATTCTCGTAGTTGGGGGCGCTAACGCGGAAGCGATAATTTCATTATTCTCCATATATGGATTTTTAAATGACCAACCAACAGGTTTAAAATTAAAAAACGTAATGAATATTCATGATATTATCGAAGAAGACATGCTAAACAGTTCCGTAGTATAACATATGTACGATGTCATGGCTCTTGATTTTACGTGTGAGTATTTGAATTTATTTCATGTTTTTCACCCAAAACTTAAGAAAATCTGGCATGTAAAGTTTACATGGTTATAAATAATTTTTGCAATTTTTTGAAACATTGCCATTTGCTCCATGTTATTACTATTTGACTTCTGCATTATCCTCTAAAAAATCTCTCTGACAACTGTTCCGGTAAAAATTTTATTTAAGTTTAAAAATGACCGTGTCTGGCCTTTAAAATACACATGCAGGCCTAGCATGTCTACCCTTTAGACGTTTGGCGTAATAAATAACACAGACAAGATAACTATATATGTTTTTAAAATATAATTCAAATGTTTCTAGCAGTCTTCCCAAAAATAGCCTACGCTACGGGAGTGTAAGCTGCCGCCTGGGCTTAGGTGAAAGTAAACAATGTTTGGCCCGGAGGAGGGTATTTAAATTTTAAGTATACGCGGTATGCTCTCACGTGAAAGTAGACCTACGCTAGGCCTAGTCTAGTCTCTTATACACATCTAGATGTGTATCGCTATAGACATATTTTTAGGATTATTCAGACTCCAAGTTTTATAAAAACAGTTATCTTGTAATTTGAAAATGTCTAAAAATATTTGATTATTTTATTATTATTATTTATTATTATTATTATTATTATTATTATTTTTATTATTATTGTTATTATTATTATTATTATAATTATTATTATTATACTTTGAAATTTCTCTTTTAGTATCTGAAGTTTGGTGGTATTATTAATGTATGATGTTCTGTCATAATTGTTTAATGAAAAAAAATGGCAATAATAACTTTTTATTTTTAATTTTAAACAAGATACAAGCGAGCTGACAAAATACATCATGGAGATAATCAATTTGAACATAAAGGAAAGAGCAGCTGGATGGTGTTCATGGAGAGCAGCAAAAAAAAATGATACTAAGACAGATATTAAGGTATTTTAAATAATAAAAATTATTCTACTTCTGTAAAATGTTTTTTTTTTAAATTATGTATCATCACAATAATGCTTTATAAATCATATCGCATGTTCTTAAATACAGTATATCAAATGTTGTATTTTCATTGATATCCATTTTGGTTATGTTGTTGGGAGACCTTTACTATTAGCAAGCACCAGTCTTCCTAAGCATTAACTTATTTGTCCATTTTTAAATGTTGAACTAATAATAATAATAATAAAACTCTTACGCCCTTTGTACCACATCGAAACCAAGGGAAAAGTGAGCACACAATATAATTAAC